ATTCCCCTCAAATAGAAAATAACTGTAAAGTGAGAATTGTAAACTTTCATATGTTCTTACATTCATCAGTGAGTGTTCACTATATTGTAGTATGAGTTTGTCTTATGCTTCCTTGTAGGAAATGCTAGAACATTATTTAATTTGTTTTTTTAAAAAACAACATACAGTTCAATCAGTGAGACCTTTCATGAGTTTGAATTATTTTCATTGTGTACTTTATTTTATGCTTATACTGTATTTAATTACATGCATTTTTCATGTTAGTATTCCCTTGTGATGTTTTCAATATTTTTTTTCAGATATGACTTAAAGCTAACACTTGAATGTATTTTAACTGGGATTGAATGGAATATTTTTCTCTGTAAGCTGCGGTATATATACAGTACAGTATATATATTATTGGTGCTTTTTTTTCTGTAGAGCCTATAAATATTTTTCACTTTAGTCACACACAATAACATGAATATGGACTCTTAACTACAGATGATGTGATGATTAAAAAAGCTCACAGTCTGACTCAAAATAAATACAGTGTCCTGTTTCAATGAAACTGTCTGGCTGTTATGATTTTGAAACAAACGGCATGTTAACATGTAAAGCACCAAGCCTTGATGGATGACTAAAAAATAAAAAGCAGATGTGACTAAATTATCTTGTCTTTCTGTAAATTCTTTGTTAACATGAACCAATGCATAACTTCGGAAAATATTTAGTTGTACATTAATTAAGAAGAGACATCCACTTAGCATTGATAAAGCGAAGGGGATTTAAGAATTAATAGTTCTATCACAGGATATAATCGAACATGTGTGTATGTACTGTATGTGCATAGAGTGCATCTGCAACAGAGAGGATCGTGAACAAACTTTTCTAAAGAAGAATAACAGATGCAATCCCAGATAACATTATTATCAGAAAAAATACCTTACTTGCCTCGCTCTCTACATGATATTGAAGTTAACTGCACGGGAATTGATTTTAGCCATTATAACAAGTCATATGGAAAGCAGACTCCTCTAATAGTGTCTGTTGAAACAATTATATAAACCTCTGAGTGAGTGTCCCATGGTGCCCTATAGGCTCAAAGGGCTAAGCAGAGCCTGAAATAAATTAGGAAAATCTGAGGACCAAGTTACATTCACTTACATCTTGAAATGTATGCAGGCCATTGTCTCAATAAATACCACTAAGAGTACGAACATTTCTTGTAGACTGGTGTGAACAAAGTATTAAGTACCAGCCAGTAACAGAATTATTTCAAATAGCTTGTGAAATTTCAGGTTAGTGCCAAGAAAGCAATTTACTTTATTTCAACTATCCATTGAATGTGCAACAATTGGGCCCATTGAAAGGGAACCTCCTGCTTTTCAGAGCAGAAAAGAAAAGTCTAAACTGTTTAACTAACACCTTCACAATAAGGCAGTATGAATCCGATACTACAAAATCCAATCATGACCTAAACAGTTTCAGATGATAAGCACAATCATAATATTTGAATAAGGTTCAGACATGCCACAATGAGCTTTAGCACAGTGTAAGACGTTTAATCAAATCTTTGGACACTTTCTTTTCCAAATAAAGTCAGGTATAAAAGAGTCACTTTGTTTTATACAGTATATTATGGTGGAAATGAATTGGGATTTATGGAGAATAAGACATTAATTTGAGGAAAGATAGAGATCACAAACCCTGTAAAGTAACTATTAAAATAAGAGTTTAATGAACAAATATTGTTCTTTGCAAACATACTGTATTCACCCCCAAATATGAAAATGATCTGGTTAAGTGGTTAGCATTGCTGCCTCACAGTGCTGGGGTCCTAGGTTCATTTGTGGACCTGGGATGCTATTGGTGTGGAGTTTGTATGTTTTTCCTGCGTTTGTATGGGCTTCCTTCCACAGTCAAAAGGCATCCGGGTAGATTAATTGGCTTGTGGGAAAAATGGCCATGCTGTGAGTGTGTATGTGTTTGTGTCCAGGGTGTACCATTGCTTGCTAGGCTCTCCTGTGACCATTTACTGGATAAAGTGGTTAATAAATGGATGGATGATGTTTACAGATTTTTAAAGTGAATACTTTTAATCAAAACTTAAATGCTCAAACTGGGAACTTTTGTTGTGTGAAAGAAGTTAAATGCCAGAAGAAATGCAAAAAAAATCAAAAATTAAAAATGTGCTGATATTTAGTAATAGTAATCACCGCTTTTGTTATGGCATACCTAAAATTGTTCGGAGGCCAAAATAATGGCCTCCATCTGTGTGCAGTACTAGTGTTTCACGTGACCTCAGAATAAATACACCTATCTCTGTAAGCTCCCTCCTTTATTTAGTGAATTTCAAGCAAAACAACTGGTTTAAAACAACTCAGGAATGAATTAGTACAAATCAGGAAAAGAATAAAATAAAACATCTGCAAACCTGAACTGGAAGAAGTGGTAAGAAAATGGATGCATAGACAAAATATCCCTTTGATCACTGTACAAATAACCATTAAAAGTGGAAGGTTGTACCTTCTTATAGTACCATCCTCACATTGCCATCAAGCTTGTCCTTCCAGCAGCCAAAGAGGAAAATGGTTAGGTTGTGAGGCAAACTCCAACTTTGAAAGAGTTACAGAATTCAATGCCTGAATCGAGAGAAAATGACCAATAGTTATTCTAGTCATTCCACAAAGCTGACCTGTATGACATACAGTACCCAGCTCAAATTTTGCATGCAACAAAGCATTTAAGTGATACTGCATGTAGTAATCATGTGGTAAAGTTTTGTTGGTTTAAACCAAAATCATTACATACGGCACAAACCCAATACAATGCGTCACTGTTGAATACCTTCCCTACTGTCAAGAGACTGGAAAGCTTGTAAAGACTGATGGGGAAGTAGATAACATAGTACTGGCAAATCTTGGAGGAAATCTTGTTTCAGACTACTACAGACTTAAAACTGGGACAAAAAACAATCTTTCAGAAGGATAATAACCCAAATCCGAAACGACAATGAAGAGGCTTAACAAGTACTTTTGGTTAGTGCAATCAAGTTCAATAGAAACTATGTGGTAAGTCTTAAAAATTGCTGTCCATCAACGATCCCCTTCCAAGCTGACAGAGCTTAAGCAAGTTTGCAGATAAACTCTAATTTTATCATAAAAGACCGTCTGATATTGCTATTTCAGTTTTTTTATAACAAATTCGAGTG